CCTCTAAACTCTACATAGTAGTTTCCAAATACTTCTTGTATAATCCCGACATAATCCCTACATATATGTATATAATATTGTACACACACACACACGAAACATAGAAATCCGTATCCCACCCCACACGTGCAGAGCCCCAGGCATGGCCTCTTTAGAACGCTGCAACAGCGTTTGCAACTGCTCTGCTGAGGCGAGTTGGCCCACCTTCTCAGTTGGGTTTTACTTATTCAGGGCTTCGCGGACTGCTTCAAGGGTAGTAGACTTTTGGGGATGTGGGGTGTTGATTACTCACCACGTGGTTCTCAACTGACAAAGCAGCGTGCTGGCTTTTTCGAAGACTAAGGGGCAACGGAGATCCTTGATTTGAGGTAACTTGGGCAAGTCCCTGTGGCGGACGCTGTGATGCATCCCCTCAAGTCTCAAAACTGCAGGGAACACCCTGTCCCCATTAAGCTACTGAACCAGGGAAGCTCCGGCCGGCTCAGGCAGCACTGAAAGCCATTTTCCACGTTGGCATAATTGAGGATTGATGTATGCAGGACATGTGTAGCCCACCACTCTGAATTCGCACGACACCATGTCAAACATCAGGAGGAGATACGCAAGTGATTATTCATGTCATTCCTGAGTTCGGTAGTACTGTAATTGACACCACCGGCAAGCCGCTCCAGTCTCTGAGAATCCCTTCGCGGGCCTTTGTTTAAGCGTCGCTTGGAACTGTGTGTCTGGCTTTGCGACAAAGAGTGAAGTGAAGACTTGAGGGCCTCTGCTCACGAAAAAAACCCACTCACAATGGTGGGCATGCCATTGCCGAGTCCACGGGTAGCGCACCCTCAGGAGGCTTGGCACTCTCCTCACTGTTTGTTTGCCACGTTGTCCAGGTTGATGCTAGCGACTCCGGGAGCATCTCCGTCAATCTCTCCGAAAAACTCTCATTCATCTTGTCCTTGATGAAATTGTCGGCGGCCGCTCAACACTGAACCCCATAAATACCTAAATCTATGCCCATAAACCCCTAACTTCCATTTCATTTCCCAGCTGCTTTTCCATTTGATTCTGCATCTTTATCGGACTTCCCCTAATCCTCTATTCAACCCTGCACCCCATGTGTGTCCACCCGGCCTCTCCGGATCTTATCGCTGACGCTTCGGCGGAGCCATTAGCCTGCACGACTGGTAGTGCACAGGAAATCTGCCTGAGACTTTTCTATACCAGTAGCTAAGTGCTGCAGGGTGTATGGTAGTAGCGGGATCCCCAAAAATGTACTCCAAATTTTGGGAAACCCTAAGCCCTAATCCCTAGACCCTAGATAGCCCCTATATAACCCCCAAAAGGGTACCCCTCTGCGTTCTGAGCGTTTTCCTACCAAGGCCTTCTACTTGGAGAATCAGAATGATGGGAATAACTTGGGTCCTGCCCCCACCCATTAACAGTCTATATCAGGGGTCATACTAAGGGCTCTATATAACTAAGATACTATCCAACTGTAAATGAGTGGGGGCAGTACCCTAGGGATAATGATAAGGGCTTAGGGTTTAGGATGAGGGGGACTTCGTAAGTAGGTTAACAATGGGCAAGGCCAGGGTGGATTATAAGCGTTATAATGGAAGCTAAAGTATTGAGTGTTTAGGGTGTAGGGTCAGGCGGATGTAGTACGTAGGTTAATATTATGGGAAGAACCAGGGTTGTTATGTGGATTTTGGGGTGTTTAACCTCCCCTGACCCTCCAAGTACCAGGCCCTCATGCATAAAACCAGCCAGGAATGCTGAGGCCATCTGCGAAAGCAGGGGATTCCTATGCATTATCCTTCGGGAGGATCTCGGCAAAATGGCGGCGGTAATCCCATCCCCTTACTACTGAAGCCCCCCAGTGGAGGGGTTTCATATTAGGGGGAGGGGATGAATCAGAATCGAGAACTTTAATCTCTTCCTCAGAGCCTGACGCGGGTTTGGGGTAAGGGTATGGTTTAGGCGTTGGATGGATTTTCTGAGTCTTGCGAGAGCTATTCGAGAGAAGGGATCAGAATCTTGACCAACGACTGGTTGCTCTCAGGGAACTTAAGCTCCTTTACGATAATCAGGAAAGAAGCTTATCTACTTTGGATCCCTATCCTGGTAACTTAACTCCAAAATTCCCTAAACCCTAAACCCCCAAACCCTAAACACTAACATCCTAGTAACTTAATGAATTCAAGTTCCCAGAAAACAAGCGAGACAACAGTCATCTGTGCTCGCGCCTTCGCAGCTTTCTTCTTCTTTCCGAAGAAGGGAACCTTTGCTTGGCTTGGCGAGGTTGTAAGGGGGATTTGGGGTTTAGGGTTTAGGGTTTAGGGGAGGGACCAAAAATTAAGGGTCCCTTTAAGCGGATATAGGGAATATGGAGGGGGTATATAATGATATGCTTTTTTATATGTATATGCGTACCTATACCTACACAATATACAGATATATATATATATATGTAGGGGATATGGAAGGGCTATATGGGGCTTGAGGGGCTTCTGAAGAGATACATGGAGTTGAGGGTTTAGGACCTTGTTGGGGAATCTCCATAAAAAGGATGATGCCGTATTGGGGTTCATTTTGGGGCGCTCTGTTTATGGAAACACCCCACATCTGTTTTGCCTGAAGTCAAGCTGGCTCACGCCAACGGCAGAAGCACCCACGCATATCATAGAACAGTTTGCTTTCAACAGGAACTCCGAAATGGTGTTCACTAACGTTTATGCTCTAAGCCCTAAACCTTGAACCCTATAAACGCCAAACCCTAAGCCCTAAACCTTGAGCCCTTGGGCCAGACTACTGTTTCCTACAACGGCGGAATATTGCAAAAGGAACCCTCGCACAAGGACCCGTGCTACACCGATTTAAGACCAATCACCGATCCCTAAACCCTAAACCTGAAATTCCCGAAATAGTAAAAGAAGCACCCTGCTCTGGGAGCAGGATCCAACATCCCCAGCTGGGTTACTGTTCTGTTGAGGGTATAAATTATCAAGATGTAGGGTTTAGGGGTACCATCATATGAATTCATAGTGAATAATCTGGTTCCCACGCCCGGAATATGGATGTATATGGATGTATATATATACATATATCGAATCAATTATGAAGGATATGGGTCTCCTAGTCAAGGTAATCTAGCTAAAGTTCTCGAACCGCCATCCAGGAATGGCCCCACCTTCTACAATGATCCCTGAACCCTATCCCTAAATCCTACATTTCAAACCATAATAAACCCTAAATCCTAAACCCTACACCCCAAATCCTAAACCCTAACTCCTAAACCCTAGATCGTAAAACCTCAATCCTAAACCGTAACCACCCAGGAAATACAGTAGCACCCCACCTTCTCCATGTAGGGTGCCATCGCCTCCCAGAGCTTTGCCGCCTGCTTCTCAATGGCAGTTGCCCAGTCCTGCGGGTTTGGGTCTAAGAGTTTGGGGTTTAGGGTTTAGGATATTGGGGTTATATTGGGCTTTGTTGAGGTTATATTGGGGTTTAGGGTGTAGGGTTTAGGCTTCGGGGTTTAGGGTTTAGGCTTTGGGCTGTAGGGTCAGTTTGGGGTGGACAACAGGCTGGTTCTTTGGGTGCTGCCCCCGGCAGCAGTCTGTAATGAGGGAACTCTCAAGGCGCTTACATACTGTCATTTTCCAACTGTTACTGAGGGGGAGTGGGGCAGTATGGGTAAGAACACAGCGGCTTATCAAACAGGATGCGTCTGTGGGCTCAGGGATACTGCAGTGGCATGCTAACCTCAGCAAACTGTAATTTGCCGAAACTCCCTGATGTTGGATCCGACTCGCTGCTTAGATGTTTGTGTCAACCATGACAAGCGGCAGCAACACATGCATTTCTGCCTCGTTCCCGCCAAGTTTTGTCAAGCTCTTACCGGCAGCCTCTACTCGGAGAGTCAAGGGGACTTAGTGAGTAGGTGAATAGCCCTCTTAATCCACATGGTAACCCTGATTATCACCGTTCTTCGCCTACTTACCAAGTCCCCCTGACCCTCCAAGTGGCACCTTCAAACTCTAAACCCTAAACCCTACAACCCTAGATCGTAGCTTCCATTTTCTTCTCCATTATCCTTACACATCCATACATAGCCCCTATACTCAAATCTCGGGTGCCCTGGCGCTCCGCTGGGAGCAGCGGCTTGGCAAACTTCCAAAGAAAGAAGACGATGGCAGGGATGCAGGTCCATGGGACACAAACGGGACCTCGGCAAGCTGAAACTAACTCATTCCCTGCTAAGTATAAAATACCCTGCTATAATGTATGCTATAATGTATTAATTACCGTTTTCTTTTCCAGTATCTCTATATAACCACAATATATCCCCTTATTGCAACTCAATGTGAGCTACAGCCTAAACTCCCAATATCCCCCTTCAAAAATCCCATAATACTCCTCTCTATAACTCCCCTATGGTTTTGGAGATTCCTGGGCTCTTTAGCTCCCCTTATTATATTGATATAGACTATCCCTNNCCTAGCTCCTTAGCTCCCCCCAAATGTATGGGTAGATAATCACCCACTTCAGGATGCTATCCAGAGACATCACAGCCTGGGCTCGCACCAATGCAGATCACCGGCATGGCGGCAACCGAGTTTTGCTTGCAGGTGCTGAATGACGTGGGTCCTACTCTGCTCTTCCACAGGCTGTAGGCGCATAGGATGACTCAACGTCCTGCTGAAGGTCGCGGCCTTTCCTGATATATAACAATGTAATGGTAATAGTATAGTAACAGAATAGTATATAACTGTATGTAGTTGATGAGAGACTGCGATTTTTGGGCTTGAGCGGCTGGCAGCCAGGCCGGAGACACCCTGCATGAGCGCCAGAAAGTCTTATACTCAGGACTACACAATTCAAGTAGCACAGTGGGGTCCATATAAAGACCCTTCATTTTGGGAAACCCTCACTGAGTCAAAAATAACACCAAAGCAGATGTCGACAACTTTTTCGCGCACCAGCGAGCGAAATCAGGTGCTACGGCTTCAAGAGTCATCTGCATCTGTGAAGAATTTCCGGATACGCTCCTGCCGCGAACAAAGAGACAAAACGCATGAATGAGCTGCAGCTGCTGATGTTGTGCAACTCTTTGTCAGCCCGCTTCATTGCTCCTTGTACAGCCGCCTTGCCACCAAGGCTGACAAGGTGACTGTAGTCACCGTGGCCAACCTCGACTCAGAGAGCACTGGCTGCTTGAGTGATGTTCAGAAGAGTTACGTATAGTCGCCGTTCGGTAGATAGAATTTGGGTTACATGGGAATCTTACTATAATACACCCGAAACCATATTCTATCTACTTAAGGGGGACTATACGGCCACACAGGCATGCTCACAAGCAACCTTAACGCTAAACCCTAAATCTAGCACCAATGCTTCGCAGCCACACTGACATGGACAAGAGCACCAGCACTTGTGTGTTGCGAGAGCTGCCCCAGTGCTTCTCCTTAGTCGGATTTATTACTATTATTACTAGTATTCGTAATATTACGTTTTGTAACATTATGTAGCAGCACAGCTTAACCTGGGTACTGCGTCCGCCCTGTAAAAGTCTAGATCAGGGGTCATGTCACTGGCTATATGTATTTATAATGTTATGCATGTTATCCAGCCCTTACAAGGTGCGGGCAGTACCCGAGCTTGACAGAAAAAACGAAGCCTGCTACAGGCAGCCCTGCGTTCACAGACTTGATACTCTTGTCACGAATGTGCATGAAGAATTGAAAGTAGGTCTGCCAGCCGTTGAGGAGATGCAGGCATGAGAAGAGTTCACAGAAGTTGCGGATAATAGTAGTAATAGCAATAAAGATAATAAGAATAGTAGAAAGAGTAGTGGAAATTAGAGGGCTACTGGTAAGAATTCATAGTAACAATAGTTGAAATAGTGCTAATAGTATCAGCGTGGGCTTGGATTCCACAAGTATTATAGACCTCAGGCCCAGCATCATTGGCCAGAACGGCACTTGCTGAGAATGCCAGGACGAGGGCGACACACAACAGGAGCGTTTCGACCTTCACATGCTTTAGTTATATGGGGGTTTCCCAATATTGGGGTACCATTTTGGGGGTCCCATAATAAGGAGTTTAATATATTGGGGTCCCTTTTTTTTGGGAAACAACCATATAGGGATGTATAAGGTTGTATAGGAATATATATAGGTACATGTACCCCAATTATGGAGAATCAAATGGGAAGGAGAATGGAACATGAAATGGAAAGTGGGATGATGTAGGATATTCTTGCATATGAACTATATAGTTCCTTCAGGGGGGCTATATAGGGGAGTGCTACAGGGCTCACTAACCAGGGTACTAGGAGTTCAGACTATAGCTCACATGGGCACAGAAAAGAGAGGTAACTACGTGGGCAAAACGGAATCCAACGTCCTCAAAATGAAATGACAGTTTCCAAAGAGTAGGATCGTTCTGCCTGTGGTAGTCGAGAGCCTGATGCCCCAAATACAAAAGCGTACCACTCTTTTTCAAACACCCCGATGTTTCCGACCTGGTTGAACAGCTCCAGGCGGTAAGGTCGTTGGATGCTGTATGACAGCAACGAAGCTGAGAGAATGAGGCAAACCTCGTGCCGCGAGGGGCAAGTGACAGGAAATTCTGCATTGCCATTGAGGAACTTAACTTAAGTCATCATGGTATGAAATAAGTGAATACTGTTTCCCTATCATGGCAGCTTCATTAATTCAAGTTCTGTACCTGCAACACAGAATAGGGCAGCAACTTGCGACAACAGCAACTTGCTCGACCCCACAAGGTTTGGCTGATACCTGCTTGACCCAGCACTGTTCGGAAAGGGGGGGGCGATCCCTTAGAGGCACGTCCAGTTTCCGTTTAGCACATGCCCAAGCTTTTCCCAATTCCTATGCTGAATTTGGCCCTCCCCACATCAATATTAACCCACTATAACCCCAATATAACCCTAATGTAACCCAATATAACCCCAATATCCTAAACCCTAAATCCTTTATGGTACCAGGTAACGCACCACATCTGAAGCGCCGGCGAGTAGGCAATGGGCAAGGCTGCAGCGACCAGGCGCAGCAGCATCTTCCGCATCAGGCGCTCCTTGGAATGATCATTGGGGGATTATGTAGGTTTTAGGGTGCAGGGTCCAGGGTATAGGGATTATATAAAGAATATATAGGGATTATGGGGGATATATAGGGGATATATAAGGATAATGGAGAAGAAAATGGAAAGTAGTATTTAGTGTGTGTGTTTTTTAACGGGTCTTTTCTCCGCAGAAATGTCTTGGCGAAAGGCCGGAGACAGGCCTTCCCATCCCAGCAAAACACACTACCCTTCAGAACTGTTTCTAGACCCGGGAACGGCTTCCGTCGGAGACTGTATCCCATCACCCTCAACCACTGCGGCATCCACGGCGCCATGTTCCGTAGAAGCGCACAAGCCTTCTGTACCTGTGTCCTAACGCGTCTCAGGACCAGTCGGAAACCTCTGCAGCTACTATCATCGCTAACGGCGTCTCCTCAACCTGGAAAGCAATCTGTACCGCTGCCTGACTGTCCACCCACGTCTCAATGGATCCCAGAACCAACGACTCTGAACATGGACACAGACCTTCTTGTTGACCAGACTGGTGCCTTGTTCATGTTGCAGAGCCCATTCTTCCCAATCCGACCATCGGGAATGGCCTGTTCTCACAGGATCAGAAGAGCTGCCTGCACCAGAGGAGGACGCCATGTCGGTCGGAGGTGTAGAAACTTCCACTTGCAGAAGCGGTGCCAACGTACCCATCCAGGTACGAACCTTCGCAAGAACAGCGTCAGTCGGGCCGATAGGAACAGTGCTCCCCACATTTGTGGCCAGCATTGCTTGTAGCCGAAGCGCCCTGTCATGCAGCACCCCTTGCATTGCCGTCTGTCCCTGCGTTCTTGACAGGCCAATCCATCAACACCTGAGCACGAGCATTGGCCTCATGTCGGGGAAGTGCATCAAGCAGCCTTTGCACCAGGGACAGCGCACGCAGGAACAACTTTTCCGTGTCCTCTCCAATGGCTGGTTTCGCCCTGCCGCTTCCTGAGGAGGGCAGGTTCCGCACGGTCATTGGAGGCGAAGTCCTCGGCATTGGGAGTGGCAGTGCTGCTGAAGGCAGCGGCCTCCCTTTTCGCGGCCGGGGCCCTCTAGGCTCTCTCCATGGTGGCGACACCCGCCTACCCACCATCGATCGGCTCCTCTCCTGGTGTCTCCATGGGCGTGCCTTCTGCGTGACCTTCTTCGTGTGGAACTTGCGTCATCAGCCGTCCACTTTCGTTTATGCCCCTCTTGCATAAGGGAGGCTTCATCATCCAGGTCCTCGTGCATGTCTTCCACATCCATGGTACCATGGGGCAGGGCTTGCTGCTCCATTCCAGAGGAAAAAAGCTCGCTACTTCGCGAAACTGACGTTATCATGTAACATCTTGACATGACTGTAAATTCCTCTGTCCCAAGGGGGGGAGGTAGTCATGGCCTCTTCCTGGTGCCACGGGCAAGCGAGGCCCACTGCACAACATTGATCGTCCACCATCGGGCAAAATGCCCCATTTTGCCAGTCCTCCAACAACCCTGCGGGCAACTCACCTTCCGGGAGAGCCGCCGCTGTTGTCACCAGCCTACTACTGTAAAGGGATGGCTGTTCATGCTCGAGTCACGGTCATGGGCCGGCCGGCACCGAGCTGCTGCTGAGATGAGATCGGGCAACCCTAGAACTTGTGCTTGTTGATCTTCAGGGTGGAGATGGTGCCAGTCAAATTGAGCTCCTTGTGGTCTCACGCGGCAGCCCAAGCTCCTCCATCTTGCCCGTTCGGCCGGCGGCGCAAGTCTAAGTGCATCCAGTAGCGCCTGGGCGTCCTCATGCACAAATGTCACGGCGGGGTGTTCTCCAGCCATGTCCTCAGCCCGCGTGACACCTGCTGATGCCGCAGTCTGCCGCAAATCCTCCTGATCCTCCTCCGCCTTGGCTTTTGCCGTTGCTTGCCGGCCGTCAACTTTGACTCTGCTGCCTTTGCGGCAGGCTTCTTCCTCCTCCTCTTCTTCATCGGCACGTCTTCCACCTCCTGCTGAAGACGTTCCCGATCATCTTTCAAGAAGTCTGCATGCTCTTGCGCCGTCGAAGCCTCAAGGAACTTCTCGACCACTGTGCTGCCCCACTGGTCCTCCCGCAGCTTGCGGGCCTATGCACGCACTTCATGCACGAATGTGCCGAAACACATCATTTCCATAGGGATTCTTGGCCAACTTCGTGATGCTGCGCAGGATATTCTGCAGCATCTTCTCCAAACTTTTTGGCGCCAACGCTCCAATAAGCTCTGGATGATCCTGCAGCCGTAGATGTAATCTACCATGTGTTCAACCTTCTCCTCTACGGCCTCCACTACGAAGCCACAAAACTCTGGCGGCATCCACGCCTGGACCACAAGGTTTCCATGGACACTCTGGATGCAATCAAGCACCCCATGCCTCAACTCTCGGAGGGCACACTTGGAAGGCCTTCTGGATGACCCGGCAACCATGCATGTGCAGGGAGAGCTGCACCACTGATTGCTGGAGCTTCTCCATGATGGCCCTGCGCTGGTCTGGAGTGTAGATGTCGAGCAACTTCTGCACGACCACGCTGCCTGAGGAGTCGCCAACCAGATTCTCCATCTTGGGGAGCAACTGGCAAGGCATGGACAACATTGCCCCATGCCTGGGAATTCTGGACAGGTTCTCCGGGTTTAGGGTTTGCAGCTTCCTGGAGCACTATTTAGGGTTTAGGGTACAAGGGGTCTGGGGTATAAGGTTCAGGGTTTAGGGTATAGGATTTTTGGTTTAGGGTGTGGAGTTTAGGATTTAGGGTTAAGTGGTTATATAGCCCGATAATGGAGAATCATATGGAAAATAAGATGGAACACAACATGGAAACTGGGCTTACATAGGGGTTATAATATGGGGTATATATTGGGGTTATGTAGGGATACTGGAAAAGAAAATGGAAACTACTACAGAATAATAGGGTATATGTTGGGTTGTAGCAAGGATTACGGGAGTATAGTATAGGCGGATTATATAGGGATTACATTAGTCTCCTCCCCCAAGAATAACTCCGTGCTTGTCACAAAGCAAGTACCGCCCAAATAGCATCAGTATATTTGGGGGGGGGAGGGGTCATTAGAAGCGGGAAGGGAAGGGCAGTACTGACATAGACAGGAAGGACAAATCCACGTGGGTGGCTGTGAAAATTATACTCCCTTGTTGGGTCCCTATGTTAATACGGCACTTAATATTTAGGGATTAAGAGGGTATACATAACCCCAATATAATAGTTTCCATTTTCTTTTCCATTATCCCCATAGAGCCCCAATATGGTCCCTATAATCCCTATATTTAGGGTACCCAAAAGGGGACCCTAATTTTGACAACCACCCACGGACTTCAGATGCACCCAGGCCGCCTTGTAAGGCGAATATAGCTAGCCAGTTGACACAATGGGTTGATCCAAAGGTCCTTTGGGGGAGCAATTTGGGATCCTGTAGACAAGGAAGAGTAGGGTTTAGGGTTTGGGAATTGATTATCCATACTGGTCATCTTTTGGAACAGGAATTTTGTTCAAGTGCCACATGTGTGAATTCACCGACGTCATGGGGAGCTCTTCTCGGTGTCCACCGCTAAGGTTGGCTTTGGTGCCTGCCACTCGGTGTACTACGATATTGGGATCCCCATAGATTGTCCAATTAGCTTCATGAAAGTATAAGCAGGAATTATGTCAGGATATAGGGCAAAGAGAATTGAGAATGATTCTCCTGTGTATTGCATGGCCACATGCCGACCCCTGCTCAAGGTCTCCTTGTCTGACAGATCTGTACAAAGGTCCTGGGATCTGTTGAGGGGGGGGCATAGAAATCAGACGGGGCTATACTCCCTAAACCCTAAACCCCAAACCCCACATAGTACTTTACATTTTCTTTTCCATTATCCCAAAATAACCCCTATACAACCCCAATAGAACCATTATATCATAATTTGCCCTAAACCCTAAACCCCTGAACCCAAAACCTACTTAAGAGGGACTATAGAGTTTAGGGATTGGGGCCCGTCTCCCAGCTGTAGCCCCTGAAGGTGGCACAGCGTAGCATTCAAGTGCTACCCTCCCAGAAACCAACATGGAAACCCGAAGAGGGCCCTGTCAAGACTACAACCCCTTTGAAAAAAGGGCTATATGGGTTTCCATGTTAGTTTGGGGAGTGTACATGAAATGCCAGCCAGGGCACCGTTTCCCAGTTTCGGTACGCAGGCTTGTAGTTCCTGACCAAGAACACCTTGGTGTTTCGATCCCTTCTGGCTTGCATACACTTCAGCACCGATTTAGTAACTACCTGTAACTGGGCCAATAACCCTACTTATGATTCGGGTAGCTTACAGAACTCCAGCTGGGCGGAGTATAAGTATTTTTGTAACCCCTGTTAAGTAGCTACCAAGTTCCATGAACCTTCAAATGCTTTTTGTGGCACAGCATGCTCCACAGAAAACTATCCGGAAACGCAAGGATCCTCCGCGAACTAACTGGGAGCCCTGAAGAATGGGAGCAAGGACAAGCCTATGAAAAAACCACCCAAACCACGCTAAAGGGTCCCAACCTTTAGAGCTCTGAACCCTAAACCCAAAGGGTCCCAACATCTACAACCGTAAACCTTCAACCCTACACCCAAAGGGTCCCAACCTTTAGAGCCCTAAACCCGAAACCCTGAACCCAAGAGTACCCAACCTTTAGAGCCCCTCTCCTGACTTCAAAAACACTTGCTGGCCCAGTCGCGACGTAGTCGGGATCCGGAGAAAGCTTGGAGTTGGCTGCCATCCACCATCCTCCCGTGGTAGCGACAAGGCACAGGACGAGCATCCCAAAGACGAACTCCTTGGATAGTCATGAAGGTTATCCCTAATCCTAGACCCTAAACCCTATAAGACCTAACCCAACCGGGTAGGTGTAGGGGTCTTGATGATGCTTGGTAACAAGGACTTGGTAGAGAATTTCCCAGGTTGCCTTGAGAATGCAAACGAAAACCTCGAACAATCTCTGCTTGGGACAATGCAATGGCAGCCATACTTGCGGGGGGTGTTGGGTACTGCTCTCACCCAACAAGAAATACACGCATGGAGACTCCAATGGAGACACTTCCAAAACTAACACTCGCCTTGATATGAATTTTGAAATATCTTCCGCCAAGCAGGTGCGTCACACCGTTTTGGCGATTTGTGGCAATTGAGGGGGGTTAGACTGCCAAGCTACATGCTCTTCAGGGTTTAGGGGTTTAGGGGTTTGAGCTATGTATACCGCTCTGAGTCATGATTTTCTAGCTGTTTGAGGCTGGGGGCAGTACCCAGGGGATGTCACAGTCAGTTGAGCGATTTAATTCTTCCAACCTGAACCATACAAGTAGCTCAGCTGTCTGCAGTAAATAAATTCGAAAAAAAACATGCGAAGAATCTGCGTTTCGCGCGTTGGCCTCAGAGCCCTTTCAAGCACAGCACACCATAGCGCCCGTATGGTCCATGTAGCAATGTGGTACATATTTACTGGGGCTCCCAAGTCTACGCGAGATACGCTTGGGGAATTCGAGGGACAGCTTACCTGGACCTTCCGAATACCCTTAAATAATGGCCTCTAACCCCAAAATAATGGGAATATGAGCTACTCTTACGGGTATTGGGGAGGTCGCGGTACTCTCAAAGAAAAATTGGACGATTAGCAGTACGATAAGGTCAAACCAGACAGCCTCTCTTGGACCGCTCCACCTCAAGCTGCATTTTTGAAGGCTCCTGCTACAGGAGAAACATGTTACCCAACTACTAAGGGGTTATATATAGGGGCATATTATCTTGGCATTATATAGGGATAATGGAAAAGAGGATGGAAACTACTATAGGGATCCTAAAACGGCACTCCAGCCTTTAGTTGACTATTTTATATGCCGAAGGTGCGTAGGAGTTGTCTACCGGCGGCAGGAAGGGCCAGTGCATCTTTCCACCGATGCTCTCCGGCTCCAAGCGATATCCTACCAGGTACCTCACCCAAAAGGCGTAGTCTTTGTGGTCTCGGGAAATCTTCAAGTATGCGAGCATGTTGACGCTTCTTCAAAGAAAGTACTCGCAACGCTCTCATGGCAACAGCCGCATGCCCCTCGCCTGCATCTACCGAAGCAGTATTGCCGTACATGAATGCGGCCAAACACGATCGTGACCATATCCCCTACTTAGATCGGTGTTGCTACCATGTGAGCTATAGTCTAAACTCCTAGTATCCCCCTTAGCAACCCCTATAATACTCCCCTATGTAATCTCCTATATAAATCCCCTTTAAGGAGTTTAGACTATGGCTCATGTGGGTGTCGAGGCAAGGACCAACCCAGAAGTCTGTGTCTGACCCAGCCTCCCAAAAGAGGCTGCAATCGATGGCGCAAAGCAGTTCGTCCAAACCACGAAGGCGAACCAGAAACCCTGAGGAGACGCTCACCGCTGGAGCTTGGGGGCAATTTCTAATGCCCTAAACCCTAAATCATAAACCCTAAACCCTTCGTATCATCATGTGTTTACTCAGTGGGGTTTCTATACATGGCTTGCAGTGTATGGATTGCAGATGTTTGGGCAATGCTGTGCTCTGGTGCCTCAGAGGGGGGGGTATTTCTGTTGTAGGGGATCTTGTATTGATACTCAAAGGGATCTACTCCCTTCCTAACCCCTAAGCACCAGTAAGAAGTGTGCCTGCAGACAAATGAGAAGTGCAAGAAGCACCCCCTGTAGAAGAGCGCTGACCAGGTGGGCCTGGGCAGATCTAGGATGATACTCTTCACTATACCCAAAAGGAGGATATACTCTCAATCTGTATTGAGGTCTATAGTATCCCAAAAACAAAAGGTAATGTAGGTAATGATGGGAAGTATATGGAATTTAGGGTTGTATCATGCAGGGGTATAGAGGGTTTAGTGGTTGGTGTCTCTAAAAATTAGGAGGCACCTTCTTCAAAAGTTTTATAATTCATGACAAGGATTGGGGCTGGTATTCGGGCCCTGTTTATGGAACCCTCCCTATAAGCTTCAAGCCAGGGGTGGTCAAAGGGCAGAACAGGAGCTACGTTAGCGGCATCGGCAGTAGGTGTAGCAGCATGGCTTGCGGCAACCAAGGGCGGCAACCGCTTATCCAAAGCGGTTCCCATATGATTGCTTTAGGGCCCAAGTATATATTATATACTTGTGGGCTATAGTCTAAACTCTTAGTATCCCCCTTATGAAGCCTTATAATACTCCCCTGTATAATCCGCCTGTCAGGAATGTAGACTACAGCTACATGAACCCTTTGGGGTTGGTAGCCGAGGATCCCTAAACCCTAAACCCTTTTTAGCCAAAGAGCATGCCACAGGGTCTTGGGCAGCCCCAAGGAGACCAGAAGACATTCTCTCGACATGCTCCAAGAACTCTCGCCCTGACCCACACAGTTCTTAATGTGAGCTGTAATCTTACCTCCTAAAGGGGGGATTATATAGGGGAGTACTATGGGGGTTATGAAGGGGGAAAATAGGAGTTTAGACTATCGCTCAACGTAGGGGGTTCTCCAAATTAGGAGTACGTGTTTGGGGGTCCCCATAATAAGGACCATAATGCTTTGGGGTCTATACTGGGGTCCCCTATTCAAGGAAGCTACCATGTAAGGGTTTCTGACACTTGGGGGGATGCCACTTTCAATAATGGAGATTCACATGGAAAAGAAAATGACATGAAAAAACTGGGATAATAAAGTGATGTGAGAACGGCCCCGAACCCTTCCACGGGCGTGGTCTAGCCCCTGGCAAGCTCCCGCATGACTTCTCATTTTGGTCGTTCCCCCCCTCCAACACCCCTTTAGACCAATCAGCAACACTGGGCCTTAAATAAAAGCTCCTGGAAGTGAACTTGCGTAACAGCCCCAACATAATACCAGGACGCAAAAGAGATCATGCCATAGAAGAAAGCACTTGGGAGCTTCCTCAAAATCGGGTCCCGCCCTATATCCTTTCAAGGGACCGCAGGGACCACTACCTTATATGTATGCCCAAAGGCCTGAAAGGTCCACTACTGAATCTTCTTCTAATGCTAAAACCCTGGGCCCCTCATGTGAACTATAGTCTAAACNNNNATAACTCCCTTTAAGGAGTTTACACTATGGCTCATATGGGCCATCAACCCTTAGATCCTTAAGGGCTCCTTGGAATCCACCTAAAAAAGGGCTCAGGGCCCATAGTAGGGGCCCATACTTTCAACCTTAGACCCTTAAACCCTAAACCCTAAAAGGGCTAAGGGCCTGTATTAGGGGCTCACACTTTCAACCTTAGACCCTTAGAGCCTAAACCCTAAAAGGGCTAAGGGCCTATATTACGGGCCCATACTTTTGACCTTAGACCCTTAGACTCTAAACCCTGACCTTCTTGCACAGACTCACAGCAATGGCCTGCGCAATGGCGCTGACGACACCAGAGACTTCGAGCCAAAGCTTTAGACGGCTGGAGAGCTGGTTGTAGGCGGCCTTGCAGCCGTAGAAATCAACTAACTTGGGGTTAAGGGTTTAGGGTAGAAATTGGGGTTCCCAAAATTAGGGGTACCTTTTTGGGGTATCCCCAAAATACGGATTCTAGCATTGGGGGTCTCTATTGGGGTCCCTTTACTTAGAGAAACTATAAAATCAACTGATTAGGCATGTTTCGAGACACCTACGTGGACCTGTAAAGTATGTAGAATAATATCGAGCTAATTTCGCTGTACGGGTGTTGGGCCATCAGGTTACCTACTTTTGTTGGGGTTCGGGCTCTGCTGACCATGGCATATTACGTGGTTGTGACTCGAACTTAGCTATGAAACCTAGAACATGGCAAGGATGAGCAGTCATTGGGAGTCTATGCATACTCAAGATGAAACAGCTGCGATAATGATGAGCAAAGGCATGATCCTCCTGGTAGATCAAGTACTCCTAGTTACAGGCGAGTATGCATCAGCCTAAAGCAGCGTACAAGTACATGACTGACTAAATGATCTAGGGCTTAAGGCCCTTCCCAGCATAGTGTGGCCAGAACCTAATCAAGGCAAGCTAAGCTGCTGTTTGCGAGATGGCACTCAACACCGTCTGCGCGACCGTTGCGAAGGACATGAGCTGGTTAAGCAGGACGCCTCGAGGAAGGACCGGGCTTGCACTCATAGATCATCTTGTAGGTGAAAGAATATGTGACATACAGTATGAAGAACCATACGCTGCAATAGCAGCATACTCTACCTAGTACAATAGCAGCAACGCCAATAGTCCTGCCGAAGCATGCTTCTTTCCTTGTGGAAGTGGCTGTCTTGAGGTGCGTGCCAAGTAGCTGCTGTCTTGAGAAGTAGCTGATGCCCCAAGAACGGAAGAGGTCGCCACAGCCAACAGAAGCACATCACTCAGGACAAAGTAAACCAGCTGCAATCCTGCAAAGGGACTTGAAAAAAGCGCGCACAAATGAGCCATAATTAGTCCAAACTCCTAGTATACCCCTTAATAACCTCTATAGTAGTTCCCCATGTCATCCCCTATAATTAAGGAATTTAGACTACAGCCTACATCATGCCAAGATGTTGGCCTAGGCAGACCGCACGCTTACCTGCTTCGGAGTCCCACTGAGGGGATTCACGGGCAGATCTGCGCACGGAATCGCAGGTCCCCTCAACCCCCAAATCCTTCATAAATCCCCTAAATCCGGTAAACCCTGAACCCCCTAAACCTTCAAACCCCCTACATCCCCAAAACCCCTCCCAAAAGCCCTGAATCCCCATACACTCCCCCAAACTAACATGGAAACCCATATTAGCCCCTTTTTAAAGGGACTGTAGTCTTTATAGGGCCCTTTTTGGGTTTCCATGTTAGTTTCCGGGAGGGTAGCCATGGCAAAGCTAAGCCCCCACCTTCTGCCTTCCAGCCAGCCGCACACTTCACGCACACCAAGACCTAGGCATGAAGAATACATGTGAGGGTTTAGGGTTTAGGGTTTAGGGTATATATTGGGGTTATATAGGGATAATGGAGAAGAAAATGGAAACTACTATATCATAATAGGGTATATATTGGGGTTACATGGGTTTAGGGCCAGCTCATAGGACCCTATATAACCCCATAGAATCCCTACATAACCCATATATAATCATACATAACCCTATGGGTGGTTGTCAAAATTATGGTTCGTTTTTGGATCCCTAGTCGAATACGGCACCCAATATTCAGGGTACCCAAAAAGGGACCATAATTTTGACAGCCACCCATGTGAGGGGTTAGGGTTTAGGGCCACTAAGGTACAGCCGCTATTTACCCAGCTGACTAATGGACATGGGCTCTTTTTACCTGAACCCCAAAAGCATGTACAAGAATGGCCTCCTGGGCTGTTTTTAGGGGTTTAAAGCTATCATTCTACATGCTTTTGGGGTCCAGGCAAGGACTATAAAATATGAGTTTACGAAACTGCAAGAGGAACCCTATGTCCACTGTTAAGGGCTCCACTTCTTAAGGCAAATATTGACCGTAGCTCATGTGGAGATCTTGAATTACGAGGTTCCACAGTAACCCCTTAATAACAAGGGCACCCTTTTCCTAATGTTCATTTTGCATGAGAAGACTTCAAAATAAGAAAGGGGAAAGGGTACGACTGGAGTACCTGGGTTATGTACTTATAGATCATATATCTGATGCTACGTTATGTTGCCTTGTATGATGACAGGTTATGCTACACTATACTCTATACTCTGTACACATAATGCAAATAATATCACATCATGCTGTAATTGGCTCCTGCATGAGAATATCAAGCGGAGTAGAGTAGAGTAGAGTAGAGTAGAGTAGAGTAGAGTACAGCCGACTTTTTGGAGTGGGGAGGATGGCATTTCTCTGGAATGCATGGTGAAGGCAAATGAGCTTGACATGGCTATGACGTAAAAAGCTCTTGCTTTCCAGGATGAAGAGGATCCTTCCAGGGACTACCTTGAGTACTGCCCCCACACTGCAACAGTTCTATGTTGGGGGTCATATTCAAGGGCTATAAACTCACATAGAATATTATGAATATTTTCCAGCTGGATCTAGCTGCTACAGAGTTGGGCCCAAGCGCAACCACAAAAAAAAGCAATCATCCTGAAAAGGGCCAGCCAAAACACCGCAATTACCAAACATGCAGACTGCAGTTATCTCAATCACACTCCCCCTTGTAATGACCCATGAACCTTCCAGTACAACTGGCACTTCTTGCATCCCTTGTGCGGAAGAATCCGATCGACCAAATCCTGTGCTGCAGTTGGCACAGCCGTCGCCTGCCAGAGCATCACCCGAGAAGGGAGGACGGGAGTGCATCGAGCCAGTGTCACACTATTATTACTATGGTTGCTACCATTATTAATATTGGTATTATTGTTAATATTGATACGATTGTTGCTATTATTGTTCACCTTGTTATTTTGGTGGTTGGTGTCACTAGTATTGATATTACGATGTATATTCTTATGATTATGATTATTACTACTCTTTTATAACTTGAAATGTGTCATCCGCATCAGTATCAGCACCCTTCCCAACAGCGTACTGTAGAAAACCTCAGGGCAATCAGCTAAACAGGAGACCCCAGGTCCCGCCGTCATGGCCCTCAGCGCACATAGGTAAAGCATCGCTCAGGGGCGCCGATCCGCCGGGGCAGGCTTTGGCCTGAGATTTAGAGCTTACCGTTTGGGTTTGCAAATAATGGTTTCCATTTTCTCTTCCATTATCCCCAATATAACCCCAAAGAACCATATAAAGGGGCGGAGACGAGCCGGGGGCTTGGTCCCTGGTGGTAGCAGCAGCAGTGGAAATTCGTCAAAGAGCAGAAGGGATGGATATGCAAAAGGCTCTTACAAAGACTGCCTCCGGTACGTGACAGCATTGTGGAAGCAAGGTTAGCTCGAAACTATCAGCAAACATGCGCTCATGACTCTGACAACTGGCTACACGTGTCAGGAACTCTCCCACCAGGAGGCCCTGATTTGTAACTTAGCTTTCATTTGTGATTGACTAGCTTTTGCAAAGTATGCCAGGAGCGCCTCTTGGCTTTAAATGCTATTTTTGTTGATGCTCCTGCGCTCTCGTGGCCTCTGTTCTTAACCATTCACCATGGCACAGCCTGTTATGAGCCAGACCTCAACGACCTTTCGCAGACCAATACTTGCCCAAATAACCCCTAGAAAACCCCTCATAGCCTCATAGTATAGCATCTATATATAACCCCCAAAAAAGTAAGCCCTGAAGAAGTCCAAGAGACGTTTGGGCAATGCAGAACCCGGGTAAAGTTGTCCGACTTGGCCATCACCCCAGGCTCAAGCTGCATGAGATTTGGCTCGCACTTGTCGGCCTCTCTTGGATTAGAGAGCCAGGACTTGGCAGGCAGCTTGCGTTTAGGATATGGGGTTTGCAGGTTAGGATCTAAGGTATAAGATTTCGGGGCTTTAAGAGGAGGAGGAGGAGTGCTGGGGACGAAAACTCAAATCTTCAATGAGTTCCAATAGGAGCATCATCTCTGCAGTAGCAAGGCACACCCAGTAGGAACCCTAAATTAGTCTCCAGTGCATTTCCCGCCTTTTCCTGCTGATTCTCCATTATGGGGGTTACCGGGTTATGCCAGCATCTTCATTTACCGTAGATCAAAGGCAGGTCTGAGGACATGCTTTCTCGGCGCTGATCCTGAGTGCTGGCGGCTGCATGGGCGGGCCTGGGTTAGTTTAGCAGCTTCGACCATTGCGGGTTGCAGGTAACCAGCCCCAATAAGCCTAATAAAGGAAGAACTTGGGGGTAGTGTACAGGGGGGTTTATGTAATCCATAGAGCGAATATGCCTGTGTTCCCTACCACTAAACGGCCTGCAAATTTAAGACCCAGAGAAAGCCCCAAACTGGAAACAGCACATGGAAAAGTTGAGTGAAGCACTGTATATAACAGCTAATAGCATCGTACATGAAGTCTTGTACAAAATCTAGTATAGTATAGTGAAGTATGACAACGTATAGTAAAGCACAACATCAGCAAAGTAATCTTCATGTTCATTTCCATTCCGTGAACTCGCCTCGTAAGGGCAGGTCTGACACCGCGGATTCAAAGCTTCTTTCAGCTGCGCCTTTCCATCTTCGCAGCGGAAACCTGAGAGAGACTGAACGAAACCAGCAACAGTAACAAGAGGGGGAATTGAACAGCAACAACAACTAATAATACGTGATCAATGAGCAACAGTCCGGAGCACCAGCATGAGCGAAACTAACTGTTTTGCGAAGCGGATTTGTTCGCGTGTAACATCGTAGCAATCTGGATAATTGTTGCAGGAGCATTGGCAACCTGTCAATAGCGATTTTCTTCAGGAGTGTCGTGGGCAGCCAGATCCAAAATATTGATGTGACTAAGTTGCGGGTTCCTTGGACTTTACAAAATTCAATCCTTTTTCTATCTAGACGTGCAGAAAGAATTCATTGTTCCGAAAATACTCACAAGGGTAAAGCCATGTTGCAACCACGAAATTCTTCGCCGCCCGCCAATTTGGCGCCAATTCCTCAGAGTGGGCGCGGCACTCCGCAGGTAACATCTCTAGGTAGACACAACCGAGGCTATCTGAAAGGTGTGCCTTGGGAGAGATTTTGATGAGGGCAGCTACCATCAGGAGAAGGCCATGTCACATACATAGTGACATTTAACCCATTCTCTGCTCCAAACAATCAATGCAGAGGGGACTCTTAGATGCCCAAAGCGAAATCATGAGACCAGGGTTTAGCAGGGCCAGGGCTTAAGGTGTTGAGGTTTAGGGCTTGGTAAGGTTTAGGGTTCAGGGTCGAATGCGCTTCTTGGGGCATATATCGGATTATATAGGATGTCTCATAAACATATACACATATACGGAATCTAGGGTTTCCCAAAATTAGGTGAAAGATCTCAAGGGATTGTACTCATTGGTATATAGGGATTATGTAAGGATAACATCCCCATAGTGAAGAATCGATTAGAAACGCAAAGTAAAATCAAATGGAATCTCGGCATATATAATGGTTTATAGGAAGCTTTGCCCTGAGACATGGGAACCCCATACAGCTCTGTCATTGTAGGGCCGCTTTGGGTCCATGCAAGTTTGGTCAAAGTACCCTACACCCTAGACCCCTGCATTAGTATGGAGGGGCTTGTATGGCAAAATGTGCACAGCTTACAACTGTCGGGGCTGAGGTAAATGTATGGTGGTTTCGTACCACGCGCTGCTAACGTTCAAGGTCTTGCATTCCATTGCTCCACATTTATATAAGCAGCTCGTTCCTGCACGCATCATGTTTCCAAATGAGGCCATGTTGACATGGGCACGCTAGCCGTCAACACATGCGTATGGTGGGACGCAGCATGAGCTGGAGGCGTATTCTCTGAATCCCGCCTTTGCATAGGACTTTTTTGCAGGTCATGTGTTTCCAACAGGTCTACCTTTTCACGGGCAAAGCCCTTGTTCTCCGCGTTAAGCTGGGTGGCCTTTTCCGTCATCAGTTCACCAACGCCTTTGTGAAGTTGACCGGACTCATCAAGGCACATGCTGCCTTGATGAGACTGTCAACTTTACAGCGTGCAATCTGCAGGGCCGGTTCGTACAAGCTACTGTGCACGTACCCCGCAATGTGCCTCGACACACCAGCCAAGGTGAAGGTTGACACGCGCTCGCCTCGTGCCACGTCGTCCATGGCACACAGGGGGATACCGATCAAACATGCAGCGTCTCGTGGTTTCAAGCCCTAAGCCTTTTCACCACTTCAGCGCTGCATGCAAGTGGGAGTGCTCAGCTGCGAATTCATGCTGAGAGCCCGAAGGCGCTCAACGCAGCTGCGCACAGACTCGCACACTGCAAACTGTTCCTCGTTCGCGACCATGGGCTTATCCCACTCGCCCGGCAACACGGGCTCTTTGTCGTCATCCTCTCCTAACTTCCAATTGGTAGGCAGGGCTCTTGCTGAGGCGCCAGGGACTACAATGCCGTGTCCAAAGTTGCAGTCGCCATGCGTTTCTTGTGTTATTTGCAGCATTACTGGCTGCAAATCTTCCTTCACTATGTTGGCTGCGTTGATGTCAGGCAACGCTCCACGCTCGAGTAACAATTTGACCACTTCAGCATGGCCATTCCAACTTTTCAAGGGGCTGTCTCATTCCGTTTATCTCTGAAATTCATGTCGAACCCGAGATTCAGCAGGAACTTTGATAAGCGGACGTGGTCACCTGGCAATGGCAAACTGCATTGCCATTGCCAGGTTACCACATGAGGCCATGTACAAGAGAGCAGTTGTCTGATGGTTCCGGTTGACTGCTGCATCCTTACTTACAAACATCCTGGCTAACTGCTCCAATCCACGTCTGATACCAGCTGCACATAAAAACTAATTTCGGGTTTAGGTGGCTGTGGCGCCAAACCAGCTTTTTTGTTTTCTAGTGCTTGGCTTCCGCATAGTCTCCATCGCGCAACTCTACGAGGAGGTCGTTGCGAGTACGGGCAAAACATCTTGGGATTAAATAGGGGACATATAGGGATTGGATAGGGGATATCTAGGGACAATGGAGAAGAAAATGGAAACTACTGTTTAGGTTTTAGGGCTCAGTAAAAATCACCAGCGCGCGAGAATGTTGTGCGTCCGAGGTGAACAAAAGAGAGAGGTGTTATGTATGCCTGAACTCCAAAAGGATGTAGAATAATTGCCTCTTGAGCGGTTGTTAAGGGTTTTGGGTTTTGGGTCACTAGTTTACCTACTTTTGGGGTTCAGGTATGTATAGTGATCAACCTACACCCTCCCCGCATACTACAATTTGCTGCGTGACCACGCAAGAGTAGTGAATATAATTAAGGAGTGACCCCCAAACCTTCAAACCTCAACCCTAAACCCGATAAAGATCCTGAACACTGAACCATAAATCCTGAATCCTAAATCCTGAACCCTGAACCCCATACCCAAAATCCTGAACCCTAAACCCAAAATCCTGAACCCTAAATCCTGAACTGAGCCCTAAACCCTAAACAGTAGTTTGCATTTTCTTCTCCATTATCCATATTTATCCCCTATATATCCCCTATGTAATCCC